GCTGTGCCGCTGAGCTAAATCCCCAGCCCCAAGCAGGGCATTTTCTATCACAGGCTGTGTATTCGGAATTTGCGCCAAAATTGGTTATTTTATACTGTGAAAGTCAATCCAGAATTTTATTTCAACATAGACGTACAGATTCATTTATAAACATAAACTTTGCCTTTTTAATATATGCATACTGCCTTAAAGTGTTTTATAGTTTATTTTATTGTATTATGCATATATTTATAGACCATGTTTGATTTTGTAGATAAAACTGTTGAGACGTAAATATCGCCAAGAGAAATGCCAAGAGTTTGTACTCTGGTAGAGATGGTTCTAGAGTCTGTGTTGTGAATCTCCACATGCTCTTCCAAAGAACTGGATGTTGTCGGGCGTGGTGGCGCACGCCTGTAATCCCAGCACTTGGGAGGCTGAGGCAGGAGGATTGTTGTGAGTTTGAGACCATCCTGGGCTACAAAGTGAGCTCAAGGCCAGCCTGAACTGCATAGGGAGACCCTGTCTCAAAAAGACCAAAAAAAAAAAAAAAAAAAAACAACCAAGAACTGGATGTTACTCATCAGCTGTCCGTTGGTGAGAAACAGCTGATGGTACAGATAGTGGAGCAGGGAGTTGCTGCTCAGCAGTTTAACCGGTAGCATCTCATTCCACAGTTGCTGGTAGGTAGATTTACTGTGATGTTTCAGGGATTATTTTGCCGCATAAATTTGCTTTGTTCTATTGTTTAGAATGTTAATGTTTTCAAAACTTGGAACAAGCCCCTTAGTGTTCTGCTGACTTGTGTTTGTAATTCTTTTTCTGCCCAGTTCTAGTTCCTGGTCAACATAGAAATGTTGAGTACCTCGGCTGAGTTCTCACACAGATGGGATCATTATGGTCCTGGTGAGTACAACATGTGTCCAGACAGACGGTAACGTCGCTGATGTCTTACCTCTGCACGTGCACTGCACATGTGGGTAGTGGTTTTTTGTTTTGTTCCATTTCTGAAAGAGACTGTCTGTCTTTTGCTAAGTTATATTCATTTTTCTCTTTTCAGTGATTATACCACCTTCCAGTATGATGGTGTTCAAGATATATGTAGTGTCTAGTGCTATATTTAGAATTTAGTATTCCTAATTTTTCTTCTGGTAGTTCCAAAACTGGTGTACTCTGTTAAGTCACCTGTGACTCTCTTGCAGCTTACTTGAAGAAACCAAGTTTCTTCACATAAATCATCCTAGGAATCACTTGATAGCTGATGATACTCTCTAGGTAGAAAAGAGCGGCAGGGCGGGGATACAGCTCAGTGGCACAGCGCCGGCCCGGCAGGTGCAAGGTCCTGAGTTTGATTCCCGGTGCCCCCGAAAGAGTAGGTAAACGGCTTTTGATTTGCTTTCACACTGCCGTCGGAGCCCTGAGTCTGAGTCTGAACTCTCTGTGGCCGGGGAATTGTGCGACTGCACAGCTTAAAGGAGGACAGGGTTGTCTGGGCTCACAGTTTCCGATGTCTTAGCTGTGACCGGCTGACCCTAAGGCAAGAGCACTGTGGCAGAGGAAGCTCACTGACCCGTGAGACCGGAAAGAAAAGAGAGGGAGAAAGATCGGGGAAGGAGAGGGCTGCCCCGCAGCCTGCCCAGCACACCAGGAAGTGTGTTTTTAATCTCCTGGTGTCTCTTCAGCGAATCAGGTTGACAAGGTAACGGCCACAGGTGTGCTGCCTCTTGTCAGCTTGATGCCCAGACGCAGCTCCTTAAACCACACCTGCTCTCCGAGTAAAGACAGCGATCCTGCCCAGTGTGATGCGACCGCCCCACGCACAGGCCGGAGCACACCGACTCCTCTGCCACAGCCCCACCGTTCCCAGTGTTGCTCAGAAGTTCAAATCCCGAGTAAAACGGCGAGCGCACAGGAGCTGTCACAAACAGTCAACGACTGGGACCTCATCTTATTAAAAGCTTCTGCACCGCAAAACAAACCACCAGTGGAAAAAAGAGACAACCCACAGTGTGAGAAAAAATTTTTGCCAGCTGTTCCTCAGACAAAGGGCTACTAAGTAGAATATATAAAGAATTTTTTAAAAATCAGACTCCCTAAATTTAAAGATCCAATCTAAAAATGGCTATCTGAAATGAATAGACACTTCTCACATGAACAAGTAGAAACAGCAAATAAATACGTGAAAAAAACGTTCAACATCACTGGTCATTCGAGATATGCAAATTGAAACAATGCTGAGATTCCGTCTCACTCCAGAAAGAATGGCTGTTGTCAAGAAATGAACCAATAACAAATGCTGGGAAAAAGGAACTCTTCTCCACTGCTGGTGGGAGGTAGACTGTGCAACCACTGAGGATATCAGTGTGGAGAGTCCTCAGCTAGACCTAGAGTTCCTGTTTGACCCAGCTATTTCCCTTCTTGGTATCTTCCTGAAAGAATTAAAAGTATCATACCACAGCAGTAATGCACACCATGTTTACCGTGGCACAGTTTCTAATGGCTAAATCTTGGAAACAGCCCAAATGCCCATCGACCAATGAATGGATAAAGAAAATGTGTTTTTTTTATTCACACAATGGAGCACTGCTGTGCCATAAAGAAGGATAAACTTGAGACATTTCTAGCTACATGGATGCGCCTTGAGACCACACTCTAAAGTAAACTGACACATACGTTCAAATATTGCATGGTTTCTCTGGTGTGAGAAACCAAAAATGTAAATAAGGACCAAAACATATAATAGATACTAGGAAATGGGAAGAAAATGTTCAAATGAGAAGGAGAACAAGGGATAGGGTAGGGGGAAAAGAAAGAAGGGACACACAAAAAAAGAAGAAAAATGGAAACAAAGCTGTTATAAGTAAAGAGGGGGAGAGGGGTTGAAGGGAAGGGAGGAGAATGGAGAAAAAAAGCAAGATAGATCATGTACATCTGTAATTCCAGCACTTGGGAGGCTGAAGCAGGAGGATTACTGTGAGTTTGAGGCGAAGTGGGGCTACATAAGTGAGTTCAAGGCCAGCCTGTGCTACATAGTAAGACCCTGCCTCAAAAAAAGGCCCCCCCTGGGGATATAGATCAGCAGCATAAGTGCCTGCCTGGCAAGTGCAAGGTCCTGAGTTCAATTCCCGGTAGCAAAAATAAAAGGCCCCCTCATTAAAGATATATCATGTACAGGTACAAACTGTCTATGAATAATGTTATCATTATGTATATCTAAGATGTACCAATAAAAAAATTCAAATCCACAGTCTCCTCTGAGACTCCAGGCAAAATCTTACCTGTAAAATTCATAAAATCAAGTTACACTTCCAAAATGTAGGAGGCTAAGCATTCCTATTCCAAAAGGGACAAATAGGAGAATAGAAAGGAATTGGAACAAAGCAAGATCAGAATCCAGCAGGACAAACACTGAGTCTTGTAGCTCTGTGTCCAGGACCCAGGACATGTGGTAGGATGTGACCTGTAGCGGCTGCAGCAGCCCTGCTCCGTAACCTTGCCCACATGGCTGGCTCTCTTTGCTACCTGCAGCTTTTCTTGGCAGATGTTTCACATTCCTGGCATCTCCATCTTCGGGGGTCTCCATTGCAGCCGCTGCCTCACCTCCACAGCTGCACAAATTTCCCTGATGTATAGGCTCCCAGCAGGAACTCCAGCCCTGCTACCCTTGCCTGGCCTCCTAGGCCTGCCTTTGCAATCTGGGTGGCCATTTTAAACATTTTAAGTGTATACTTCTGTAACATTAATTACATCCACAGTGGTATAAAACCATCACTATTAAATATTTTCAAAATTTTTCATCGGCCCAAACAGAAACTCTAAATGTCAAGCAAAAACTCCCCATTGTGCCCTTCTCCAACCCTGGTGTGCATCTGTTTCTATCCATTCATCTATTCTAGATATTTCATATAAGTGGAATCATACAATACATGATATTTTATGTCACTTAGTGCTGCATTCAGGGTTTACAAGGAAAAGATTTAATACAGGACACATAATTTATAGGATTATTTTGTAATATTCACCCAAAGAGTCAGATGCAAAAGAGTGCAGGAGATCTGTCCAAAGAATCCAGCTGAAGATGTGGATCCCACAGCAATGTCCTGCATGAGTCTAACTGGAGGCCTAGAGCCCACAACAATGTTCCAGCAAGTCTGTGCCAAAGATCTGCACTGGGAAAGCCCAGAGGTCAGTGGTGGGACCTGGAAAGTCTGCATCAGTGGGCTGAAGGATCTGTGCCAGCAGGCTGAGGGATCTGCACTGGAGCCCGGAAGCAACGCTCAAGGTAAGAACCAGAGCTCCCCCGAAAAGAACTGCAGCCATCCTCAGCGACAGCGAGGACCTGAGCTCCTCTGACATGAGAACAGCTAAGTTCATATCAAGAAAACCAGCATGACAAGCTGCGTCAGGCGAATCAAGAGCTCACCATCTTCCCCTCCAGTTCTGCTTTTATGCCATGGCAGCAATCCTGAAGTGGGCCTTCCACACCCAGAACCACGCAGATTGAGTTCACCTGTGTGACACAAGTTGCCCATTACTTAGTCCGCCACACTTAGCATAATGTATTCAAGATTCAACCATATGACTTGTATCAGAACTAAATAATATTCTGTTGTCCCTGGCATTGTGGTACATGCCTGTAATCCCTGCACTTGGGAGGCTGAGGCAGAAGGATGCCCATGAATTCAAGGCAAGCCTGGCTATGTAGGACTACATAGCTAGACCCTCCAAAAGAAATTATGTTGTATGAGTATACCATATTTTGTTCACCCTTACAGATGTTGATGGACACTTGGGTCATTTCCACCTCTGGCTATTCTAAATAATACTGCCGTGAATACTGGCTTAGAGCTGTTTGAGTCTCTATCTTCAATTCTTGTGGGTAGCTAGAGGCTTGTCCCCTTTAACCTCATGTTCATGCATGAGGGTGGCCACTCATTGGTCACACTGTGCAACTACTGGTATTTGAGTTCTTTTTTTTTTTGCGGTACAGGGGATGGAACTCACAACCTTGCACTTGCAGGCAGGCGCTTATGCCACTGAGCTATATCCCCAGCCCGGTATTTGAGTTCTTAACGGCCCACGAAAGACCTCATAAAATGCATACACTTGATTTTATGCACTTACATGTGAGCTCTTTACTCACCGCTCACACGCTCACACACGTACAGGTTTATGTACACACCATCTTTTACAGGCAGTGGGGCTTCTCCTGCTGGCACTGACTGTATAAATGAGCTGGTTTAGAGGTTAAGAGTGGCTGACACTGCAGTGTAAGAAGAAAGGTGGGAGAGGACGAAGAGCCAGTATTAGAATGTACCAGGATGTCGGAAGATGAGCTTGGCAACCTGATCTCCAAGGTATTTGATATAAGGGTAGGAGACCGCTGCAGTGATGTACCGTGCAGTGATGTACCTTCCAGCGACCCCGCTGATCTGTGAGTGCAGTCTGGACAGTGCGCTGAGATTTGCGCCATGCCCTTGATGCATGGAGTTTCTGCATCTCACCAGTTTGAGACAGCTCGTCTTACTGGGAAGTTCCTCCTACTCAGTCTGCTTCTGTGCTCACAGATCTTCCTTCTCTCTTTTTTTTCTTTATCCCTTCTTTCCTTTCGCCTCCCCCTTTGCTCCCATTTCTTCCCATTTCCCAGTATCTATCATACATTTTGGTCCTTATATACACTTTCAGTTTTCTCACACTAGAGAAACAGTGGGGTATTTACACATGTGTGTCTGATTTATTTCACTTAAGAGTATGGTAATAAGCTGAGTGTGGTGGCTCACGCTTGTAATCCCAGCACTGGGGAGGCTGAGGCAGGAGGATCTTCGTGAGTTTGAGACCAGCCTGGGCTACAACGCCAGCCTGAACTGCATAGCAAGACCCTGTCTCAAAAAAGACCCAAAAAAAAA